TATAATAAAAGTGAGAAATTAAACTGCTAATTAGAGTTTAATAAAAACTTTTTGCACATTGTTAACGATGAATTTTCGCCTTTAACTCAAAGTCTAAGCATCATCATTATCATTTTGACCAGTTCCTTTAGAAATATGTGTGCAGAGCATCATTGTTATTTACTTAATCACCTCCAATTAATCAGTGTGTTTATTAAAAAGGTACACCTGCATTCACCTCAGTAACACATGCTTATGAGAGCTTATGAGAACACAAGCACAAGTTGAACACTGTGTTTGTTGTTGTTTGTGTTGATATTGTATGAAGACTTCACCACATGCAGATTTTGTGACTCTGACACAGCAGGAGACAAACACCACCTGCACCCCCTTAAGGCCTTTCTCAGGGCAGAAGGATGTGCTAACTGGCTTGGATACACAAGTTTGCAGGGCCCTGTAGGAGGGTTATGAGCAATGGATCTACATGAGAGATGAGGAATAGGTAGAGAACAGAAGAATCAGACTTTTTGATCTTTTTCTTTTGCCAGGATAGACCACGGAGTGGAACTTACTGATTAAGTTATCTTGAAAGACCTTCTCAATAATTCAGGTTGCCCGCCCCCCAAGGACCCAAGTCGTGGTGCTGCTCGATTATATTAAAGTCTGTTTATCCCCCGGGGGTGCTCGTTGTCGGTTTTGTCTATATCTTATTGAAACTGTATTTCAGTAAGCCATTTTTTCCAGTGGTCTTTGTGCCTATTTTTGACACGACAACATGGACTAAGAATCTATTATCCCTTTACTAGACATTGCCGGTGATCCTGTGCAGTGTTTGCTCTTTTAAGCTGATGCAGCTTTGCTGGGAGTTACATATTATCCCCAAACTTCAACAACCAAGAAGATTTTATAAATTAATGACAAATGAAATGAGCACAATGTGCCCAGGTCTTTCAAGTTTAGTCCTCTGGAAACACCCACTGGTTTAACCATGAGTGTGCACAGCCTTTCAAATAACCAGATTTACGGTCATGTTGTGCTTGGTGCACATCCTGCACTTTGCAGAAGACAAACATACTATTAAACAGGCAAATATGTAAACTATACACATGAAAAAGTATCTGCCCCTTCCTGTATTCTTAGTTTTTTTGCATGTTACACTTAAATGGCCTCAGATCAGGAAAGAAATCTAATAATAGACAACGATAACCCAAGTAAATACAAAATGCTTTTAAACAGCCGTTTCTTTTGTTAAAGGAAAGAAGTACCCATATCTACTTGCCTTGTGTGATAAAAGTAAATATCTTCTCCCTGCACTGTGCGCAGTTTATTAAACATTATTAAGCTACAGTTGTTGCATGAACATGAAAAGTGTGAAAGGAGCTTCTTCTTGTTTCCGCTGCGATTTTACTAAAGCGGAGTGAAAGTAGTGCAAACAAAAATTCAAGTTTGTTTGAGGTTGTGCGAGAAAACGGGAAACTGCAAATGTTTTCCTGTGGTTTGTTGCTCATGCATCATGTCTCTAAAAGGAAGACACAGTTTTAGTAGCCAGAGTAAAATTTATATCCTTAGCAGCCTCATAAGAAGGTCCTACATGTGATATTTCGAACTATGTCGTATACAAAATAAATACACGTCACTGTTAAAAGCCATCCAGCACAGATAAGTCAGTAAAGATCATTAGGAGACTCACAGCATGAAATCTTCCAAACTACAGTATTTGGTAGCAGCAGCAAAAACACACATTACAGTAGCACAATGTGCTGATTCAAGAATGCCAGCATTACACAGCAAGAATTAAAACCCAGGAATATGAGTTTGCTGGAAATGTATCATATTTTATAGTAAAAGTAAGTGAAAGCCTGTTAAGATTATGCATACTTTATTTTCACTAGCAGGAGCTGATGCTGACTCAAAGCCATGATGGAAAAGTAACGTTTACGACTCTTTAAGCTGCTGAAGGCATGAAGTCAGACGCTCTGTAGCAAAAAAAGTAGGAAAACTCGAGTGACTCACCATGGGTTAGAGGAGGTTGTCTGAACGTTCAAAGGATGAAAGATGCTTCCTTTACCGCGGTCTCATAAAGTAGCCACATGATTATCACAGAAAACACATATCTGAAGAGTAGAAGTGCAAATTTGACGGATCTTAAAGATTATAATACAACTTTGAGTTGGCAGGCGAGTGAAGTGAGCCTCAAACACAGCGGCTGAAGTAGGTCTAAAGTCTGCTGCTGGAATTCGCTTCGTGCTGCACCTCCTTTCCGGTGTCGTGCCTCATCTGCATTTTTGCACTGTGGTTGGCAGGTTGAACAGTGACAATAAGAGAGAGAGAAAAAGTAACTGCTCCTGTGTGTGCAGACGAAGTCACGCTCTCCAAAACCTGAAAACCGCACTGTAGGCCTCGTCTCTTCATCGACTGTGCAGATGCTGTCAAACCACAGGCAGAGGGCTGACACGACATATCAAGGTCAATAGGAGGAAGTACAAAGAGCTTCAGGTCGCTAACATGTCAGGCAGTAATAGAGCAAGGTGATAACAGTAAACATGCTGTAATATGAGTAATTAACAGCACCTGCTGTGTTCATACATAAGTGTAGGAACATCTGCAATCAAGATTATATTAATTCATGTTATTTCAGGCTGTCACATTGTACTAAAAAAAGACTGCCGAAACACAACTGCACATATTTCAAATTTATTGACTTCTTTTTTCAAATAAATGTGCAAAACATTTGAGGAAAAACATGAAAAATAAACCATTAAAAAAAATGGAAAAAAAGAAACATATTGTAATTCATGACTTGTGCATGCAGATGATACAAAGTTGTTTTTTTTTTAACTTTTCCAGTGTTTTTTGTGACATTTGTTTGTTGTGTAAAGTTCTGAGAGTACTTGCTGCATGTACACACCGTTTTAGTGCTCAGTCACATTCGCACGCTTCTGTTTTCACTCCTAGTTTGTTAGACTTTGAATACTGCAAAACCCGACTCTGTGAATGAGTCAGCTCAGATTTGTAAAGCAAGAAGCCGACACGCAGTAGTGTTGCATGAGCCATTTTCTCACAATAGTTTATTTAGGTTAGAGACATCAAAGTTGCACTCGGCGGCGAGCTCATTTGCATGTCCGTGTATATCTGAATCTTGAAGAGCAGCTCTTCATCCTGTCTTTCATTTCTAACCTATCAACATGCACTGCGTTTCACAAAAACCTAAAATATACCAGAAAAGACATTTAACGGGCATTAAAAGGTGGAAAGCCACACCACTAAATCACTGCGAACGCTTAAAAAAAACAAAAACAAACAAAAAACCTTAAATTGCCTTGACTTGGCTAAATTGATGTAAAAGAAAAGAAGTTGGACGAAAGCAGCAGCGCATCTCTAAAATAAATCAAGCACAGTAGCCCACGAAGTCTAGCTCGGCCTCACATCTGATCTCAGTGCGAGCCCACGTCACATCAGCTGATGGCACAGCTGATACCGTTCTGTGCATCCAGCCTCACTTAGGCACGCTACTCAAGCTGCTTTAGCCTTCATACACTTGCCGTTGCATGTGCAAACCTCCACCCACAGCTCCTCCTTCTTCATGCTGTTCTGACGCAGATCTTGCTGCTGCTCTCCCCAGCTCTGGCTTCCACTTATTTACAGCTTATCTAGAGCTACGTAAAAAAAAAAAAGGCTTTCTTTTAACTATAGTGGCCCTGACTGAAATCCTATTTGACAGGACTGATGTAGCTTTACATGGTTGTATTAAGAAATGTTACTGTGAGATTAGAGTTGACGAGAAAGGTACAGGGAGGTGGGGGGGGTCATTTCATGATGAGAAAAGCAACACAAAGAGGCAAACAGCACTTCAACGCTATCAAAAACAGCATACACATGCTATTCAGGGCACATTATCTTGGCAATTTTGACTATTTAGGTCTGATATTTATAATCTATTAAAAGTGAACTCAAACTAACTCAACTGATAAAATCTCTCTGCATCCCTGCAATAACTTATCATTTCAGACTGCTAAGAATGTCTTCCCCCCTGAGAATATCAACGTCATATTTGTAGTACTGACACTTATCTCTAACTTGTGCTGTCCCTCTATTAAGTGAGAAACAACTGATCAAACGAAACACCGGGCAAAGGCACAAGAGCGGTTCCGAGCCACTAAGAACACAAGCGAAACACAGAATAAGCAATATTTCATCTCTTATAAACAAATTCTCCCCATTTAAGGAATTACTTCATACGTCTCGCACAATCCTTCTTCTAATTTTCAAAAACGAGACACTGTAAACAGTTTTCTTTGACCAAGAGTACAAAAGTGGTTACAGACACTCATTACAGGTTAGAGACATTCACATTTAAAGGGCAATCAGGCCCTTTGACTACAGTTCAAAGTCATCTATCAAAATATAGAGCAGAAAAACAAGCAGGAAGTCAAAAACATAAGACATGAACAGAATGTAATCTTGTATACAGCCTGGTGTTAAAAACACTTTAGTGCCAGCAGGCATTCCTGCAGAAATCAGAAGCATTGTTGTTTAAATGTCTTAATTTAAAAGCTTCATCATAGCAAAAGAAAAACAATTTAGGACTCAAGTACTTAAAAATAAATCCCTTTCTATATCTTCCTTTCTTTTAAAGTAGAAACCAGCACTGTTCACAGGCAAGGTTGCACATCGATTCTTAGGAAAAAGAAGAAGAAGAAGAAGAATGTTATGACTTTTAAAACGCAGCACACTGGTTGCCTAATTCATGTCACTGAAGCTATAAAATGTCACGTCATGCACACACTGGATGCAACCACATAGTTAACAATTACAAGTCATTTTGACAGAAGGACACTTTGTGGCGTTTGTTTCACAACAGCCGCACATTTAGTTACCCACAGGTCAAATTAACCCTTTGATTACCCACAGTAGCTCTCTCTCTCTGCTGAAGTCCTCCCTGCACGTGGCCACTACCACATGCAAAAAGCCGCTGGCCCAAAGCCTGGATTATAGATCAGACAGTCCCTCCCCGTGCTCACTCAGCTCCATGGTGTATAGTCCAGAGGACGCCTGGGAAAGCACACAGCAGCGTTACAAAATGTAAAACTTTATTTTTAAACAGCTGACAAAAGTGTCTTTTAGATGTAGCTGAAGAAATATAAGACATACTGAAGGGTTTTCACCTAAATTCTGCAATCCATAAACCTGAAAATGGGATGTTTGAACCTTAAATCGCTCTTGGTTGTTTCACTCTTGATACACTTAATATACCTCTAATAATGCATAAAAATGTGTGATCAGAAAGTCTAGGACCCAGCACTCCTGCTAGTCCCAACGGTGACCCTTAGCTCGTGAATTTCATTAGAGAGAAAGTCGCAGAGTAATGGATTTCTGTGAAGTCATTTCCTGACATTTTTTTTTTTTAAATCACTGGTCTTTATATAGTCCTGTGAGTTTTACTTCCTCCCTGTGGTAGTTATCATCCTGAATAATCAGTCATCTTCCTCCATGCGGGAACCAGTTCTGGTAAGCAGGGTGGAAGTGACTGAATGAAGGTTTCACAAAAAAGATGAGGATATGTCAGGTACCATAACTCAAAGGAACTGTATCCTGATCGATATTATTACAGAGACACACACACACACCAAAAAACAAAGCATGCTCCTGGCTTAGACACTGCTACTGGTGTCTGACTGTAGCTCTCGTTACGAACTGTAATCCTCAAAATGAAACTCAGGTCAGCTCATCAGGCAACGTTGTGCAAACTCTGTGCAAGTTGAGGTCTGCAACTAAATGAAACACATGCATGCAAGTGGCTAAAAAGAGTTCAATGTAATCTAATCAGTAGGAGTCCTACAGCAGTCATGGAACTTCACAAGTAGTGCTGACAGGAAGAAGGTCAGTTTTTATAAATAGTTACAGAAGACGTTTACAGACACTCAGATGAGCAGGAACTTCATGGTAATTTGGGGCTTTAATGATTTCTTTAAATTGCTCTTTCTCCATGGTGCAGTGGTTGTGTTTAATTACTTTAATAAACAAGAAGTGGAAGCACAAGTTTGAATTTATTTGGATTTTCTCTAATCCGCCTCTAATACATAGAGGCTCAAAGATAAACACAGACACCAACTAATATTTTGTTAAATGTCTCTTAGCACTTCGGCCAGATGCCTCTCTATAATCTGGCTGGATATTACCAATTCTGCCAAGAAGTGTGGTCAAAGTCATTTAAATGGTTGGTTGGTTTCCTGGCACAGACCCGGCTGTAAGAGTAGTCCACAGACTTTCAACAGGTTGAGGTCAGGACTTTGGGAAGGCCGTTCCAGCAGCTTAATGTTAGCCTGCTTTATCTGTTCCAAAACCAGTCAGTACATGTAAACTTCTGACTACAACTGTTATTACTCAATCTTCACAGCTGGAAGCGTACACCCAAAAGTCAGAGCTCAAGGCTGGATTATAACTTGGACACGTGGTCTTGGCTAAATGAGCAGTGCCCATTGTGGTGTAGTGAACTCTGACACACATATTTAAATCACAGGAATCACTACAAATCAAACGATTACACAAATTTCTGAAAAGATTTATATAGCAAATACATCCATAAAAGGCTTTGCCATATTGTGATAAGATATTAAAAATGTCTACATTCATATGTATATGAAAGGGGGAGATGATGCAGGAGATCTTACCTCCTCCTGTAGAAATACGTGACCAGAGCAGCTCCTAGTCCCAGCACCAGGATCACAGCTACTATCAGCCCTATCTGTAACCCCAGGGCAGATGCTAAAAGAAGAGCAAAGGTAAGTTACACTGTCCTGGTCGTGATTGGTGTTGTAACATTCAACCTCCTACACGCAGCAAAAAGCCAACGCAGCCATCGCCCTGGACAGGTGGTTCATTCCCTTTCCCACGTTCCAACAGCCACACCTGTGTCCACCTGCAGCTCTTGCCAGTCTGAAGGTGTTGAGGGGGTGAGCTGCTATTTGCTATGACAAGGTTTTCTCATGCTTATGTTAGATAAGGAGGCAATTTGTTCGATTTGTTTGGTGCTCTTTGGTTAGCTGATAATACTTTACAGATTCATTTGTTTTGCCCACTGCTAGCCCCGATTCTCATTCCAACTCCTACACTTCTATAAATCTCTAAAGCAAACAAAATATTTGAACATTTCTAACAAGTTGTTTCTGTGGCTGTTTGGAACCTTGGGAAGGTGGATGTTATGGTCCTGCTGTGTTCGGCCAGACCTAAAAGGCTATAACATACAATTTCTGAAAACGTAAGCGAAGAATAACAGCAATTTAAACATTAGGAAGGAAATTTAAAAGTGCAACAGAATTTGTTTTATTTAGATATTTGATGCATAGAAACCTCATCTCTTTTTGCAAAACACAGCTTTCTGGGTCACAGAACACAATACAAAGCAGAAGGAGTCCAAGCAACACTGAGCCGAGAAATACTTCATACGGCAGCGAAACAGAAACTCCAACTGTCTCTTGTGGAGAGTTTTAATTAACAGCAAATTATTTCTCCTCAGTCTATTTCACTTTGTACTATTAGTCATGTATTTGTATTGTATGTGGGATCAGTTCTTTATAAATCGTTCCTTACCCTGCCAAAATTCACAGGCACAAGACCCTTTACTTGATTGATAATTACATTTTTGGGCTTAAATGTTGCTGTGTTGAATCTAAACCAGGGTCTTTCACTTCTTATGTTGAACTTTTTAAAATACTCTTGTTTAAAACCACTGTAAAGTGTGCACCTACTATAAAAAAATATGCATAATGTTCCAACATTTAAACTAACAGAAGAACTTATTATTAATATAAACATAACAAAAGAAGTTACTTTCTCGTTTCCTTTTGTTACTAAGGGTAAGAGCAGGTCAGATTTCATTCTAATTAGGGAGGTCCTTCACCTTTCACCTTTATAAATCATGCATGAAACACAATGATCTAATTATATGATCTAATAATTTCCCGCAGAGAGCAAGACATAGTAAAGATAAAGGTAATCAGCCTGCTGCAGCATTTCTAATCTAAAAATGACCATTTCCACTTTTCTTTAGATAACTTTCTGATGAGCAATCACCAGCTGTCACATTTCCTGCGACTGGTTCACAATAAAAGCCAGGATGTAAAGTGTGGCAGCACAGTACTTTAAAAATGAACTGTATGTAATTAAACATAGTATCATGATGGCAGTTAACACTTAGGATCATAATGATTACTTTAAGTACTTTCAGACTTCGTGGCAGGCTGGTTGCTCTCCAGATTTACATTTTCCACTATTTACATTTGACAGATTTACACTTGCTTTATTTTTGTTTTCAAAGAGGCAAATTCTGTCTTACATGAGCCTTTGAACCAGAGGTCAAAAGGCTACAACAAATTCCTGTGTGCCAAAATCAGACAGGCCACGATTACCTTTTAAAACAAGTGGAGACACAAGAAATTTCTTTGATTTCATGCAGTGAAATTTGGGATCCAAAGAACCAAATTTAGAAGTTTAGACTTATGCCTGATTAAGGCTTCGTATTTCTTACATAGCCTACTAGAGTAGTCAATGACGTTTATGCTTATGTGTGCTGCATTACATGCTAATTACCATGTGGTATGTGCCAGCCAGCCAGTTCCATTTCTCGGGAGGCGGACGTCAGGCAACTAGGTGGGTTATGATGCAGATTTCCTGCTGATTTCCTGCTAAATTGGGCACTTCACTGCAGACTACAGGGTCCTGACTGATTGCTGTAGCTAATCTTTTTGAAACAATGATGCTGAACTGCTACAAGGTCATTCTTACATGTGCTTGTGTAACGACCGGTAGTGGGGGAGGAGCAGACATCTCCCTGGGTGGACGACAGGTTCATATGCGATGTCTGGATGATCAGGGCCCTCTGATGGGCCGACAGAGCCTGAATGCTCCCCCAAACTCGCAGCCAGCCAGACACACAAGAAAAGTTTGCCCCTTAAACAAGAACAGACAGACAAATTTTTCACCTTCTACAAAAAATTGCTCAGGTTGTGCATTTTTTGTATACATATAGACTCTGTAAACCTGGGAGGTTGGAGCTTATATTGAACAGCAGCATTGTGGCAGTTTTTCAGTGTTTATGAGGGACATAGGGCATGATGATGAAAGGAAACAAGCCACACCTGAGCCCGCCTATCTCCTAATGATTTCATTCTCCAACTATAAGTTTCTAGAGCTGTTTCAAAGACCAGGGATGAGCTACTGTAGTCTTTCATTGAATATGAGCCTAATGTGGTTGGTTTTGTGGAAAAGTGGCTCACCTTGGAGATACAGAGCAGAAATGCCACAATGACATCGCTGCTCTAAGTAGTCTGCCACCTCAGAGACCCCCTTCCCCTGGATAAGACCACTGCAGTCTGTGAAAAACAGAGTGTGAGCTCTTAGTTACTGCGTTATAATGAGACCATCTTGATTTATTAATTTATTTATTTATTTTTAAGCCGGACGCCACGAGCAAGGGATGAATCTGACAAACAAAATAAAATGGGCATTAAATTGTGTTCAATGAAGCTAAAAATGAGCACAAACTAACATAAAATTTACCACGAAAATAATGTCTGATTATGTCAAAAATGAGAAATCAGACTGTTTTTCCATTTCTTCATAAATTTTGACTTCTTTTGCAAACACAGGAGTTGCCTTCTGCTGGCAGTCAGAAAGAATGCAGGTATAAGGCACTTCATGTAAGCTTCCATATCCCGTAACATTTTTTTTTTTTACTTTTATAAACGTTCATTTTAAGATGCCTTACCTCCCACCTGCTCTTGCCAGTCAGTGGACAGCGGTCCGAGGCAAAGATCAATCTGACTTGAGAAGGTGGAGCTAGGACAGAGGTTGGTGCTGTGAGGTGTGGCAGACGAGGTGGTCCAGGATGAGGGGCTCCTCACCTCACAGCATGAACACCGGCTAAGTGTGACGGGACCATCTTCCACTGACCTGCACGTACAGCGCATGTTTGAGTACAGTGATTTTGAATGGTACACATACTGACAGTAATTTGAACAAACATTCCTCAAAATGCCAAAGGTGCAATTAGGTACATTTTTAAATGCTTGTCTGACTCAGTCAGTGTTAAACAGCTAAACAAAAAACAGTTTCTTAGAAAATAGTCAGTTTTATTGACTTGGCTGAAAGTGAGTGAAAAAGCAGCCAAGCAAAGAAAAACTTTGGAAAACATTCGGAGAGCCACTGCTCAAGTGCACTTGGAAAAAAATTATATTTAGATATGTGGGGTGGCTCAAGACTTGCACTGTGTGCATTACTTCAGACGCTTATCAATCTTTTCATCAATCTTCTTGTCTCAGAGACACTCTGCTAGGCCTCTTGGACCCTGACCTCTGTTGATCTCTGCACTTGTCCATCAGGCCAATCTTTTCCAGAAAGTGTAAAAAAAAAAAATCTTAATAAAAACAACTATTACTTTGCTGTATGGTCGAATGGTGTAGCCTTTAAACACAGACAGTATAGTCTCAAATGTCTGATTGCATTTGGCAGTCATTCCTCTTGTTCTCCAAATTTGTGCTGATAGAATATGAGCCGAACTTCACAGTTCAGCACAAACACACACACACACACACACGCACACACACACACGCACACGCACACACGCACACGCACACACGCACACGCACACCACACACGCACACACGCACACGCACACACGCCTCCAGCTGTTTGTTCCTGATTGAACCTTTTACCACCACCTGGAGAAAATTGGGTTTCTACTTTCACTTTCTATTTTCACAGCTCCAATTACCTGAAGTGACGCATGTTTGAAATGTGTTTTTCTGATCAAATCATAGACAAGTCTGACAGACTTTGATTAATCAAATATGGCATTTGCTGTGATTAGGAAACATTTTTGCTACAGATTTCTATGGTTATATTTCACTGAGTTATATTTGTATAGTAAGTAATGGAGGCAGCTATGCCTACTTAAAACGTATGAAAAGGCTAAATAAATGGTTACTTTCTGTGTTTAAATGTGTTGTTTTATGTTCTTTGGATCTTTTTTTCCTGTGAATAAGGACATCTTTTGTCTTAATGACAAAGTCTTGAAATATCTCTACAAAGCTGTGGTTTTGAGCGCCATCATTAATTATAAAGTGTGTGATTCATGTGTTGAGTCATGTGTGTACCTGAGAGCTGGGATTACTTGTCTCCCCCTGGTGGTGGACAGAGAGGACAGCAGTTGCCGGTTCTCACTGAACACAAGCACATCTCTGAGGCTGGAGTTGGTCAGAGCAGTTCCAGCTCTGCAGATGCTGAATAGGTCGTAGCACAGGACTACAGCTCCTCGCCCGGGAATCGTGGAGCCCTCTGGGAAGGTCTGATCTATGCAGAGAGAGAAGGTGAACCGGTTACAGACAAAAAAAAAGTGAGGCGAGTCAAAGAGGCAAATAGATTTGGTTGGTTTTAAGAAAGAAAATCTTCAATTGCTCTCACCTGCACCGGTGACATTTCCAATGATGTAAAATCCGTCCCGGTTAATAGATCCGGTCAAGGGAAGGGCAATGACGGTCCCACTACGCTCCTGGTCAAACACAGAGAGCACCAGGCCCTGCAGGTCTGTCATAGGTGGCCCGTGAAGCTCCACAAAGGCCCGCTGCTGGCTGTGATTGGTCCAGTGGTTGCTAGCCACCTCACTGATAACCACACCGTCAGGGGCAGGAGGAGGGCGAGGGCAGCTGTTTTCCCTCAGAGGGGTTGGTGGAGCCACCTACACGGGATGACACAAGACGCAGACCTATATTAACTTCAAAAATGTCTGTGACAAAACAGAAAAGATAATAAACCACCCAATCCTGACTTAGTGCTTTATTGTCTGAAATGTTAATACTCACTGAAAAAGCAGACAGGTCATAGGGGTAAAGGCCTCTACAACGGCTAAGGGCCTCATCACCAGGCAGAACCTCCGGGTCCTCCAGCAGTGGCAGCTGTCCTGGAGTCAGAGCTTTACTCAGCTCCTGTGCCTCCCTGTCTGACCCTCTCTGTCGATAAACCACAGCATCCAGCAGGCCTTTAGTAGGAATTCCCCTCTGCGCGGCCGACGGTGGGCCGAAGGGGCTGCGATAGAGCGCCACAGCATCTGGTCCGTTCTGGATGGTGTTGGGAGGCAGGCGCAGCGATGGGGCTGGCACCAACCTGTCGCTGCCCAGCAGAAAATACCCTTTGGAGGTGGTGAAGTGTCCGCTCAGGCTGATCTCCCTGTACGGTTTGTTATTGTGCGCACTGAAGAGCAGTATCCAGATGTCCTGCAAGGAGACTCGGCGGCCTGATGGGTGCCACAGCTCGATGTACTCCCCGTCCTCAGCTGCGCCGGGTGTATCAGTGTTCAGCTCGTTGATCAGGAAGTCAGTGTTGCCCCAGGGTGGGAGGTGAGGCGGCGAGTCTGTGCCTCCTGGAACCACTGGAGCATAAAAGGAGGAATTTATTAGGGATTTATTAGGCCACTGCAGCTCAGCAACAAGGTGATGTTTTCCTACAGCTGACGACGTCCCCTCTTAAACTCCCACATACAGCGCAATCATGAAACATAACACCGTGATAAAAGTATGATGTCACCTCTACTACTAGTGATCTCATGATCACGTTTGTCATCATATTCAAGATGGTTTGATTTGTCATAGGGCTGAACAACCTTAATGGAAACATAAACTGATCACATAGCTGCTTCAGAAGGAAAATACTATGGAGCAATGTTAAAAATATTCCAGATAAAACATATGAAACTTCTTAAATAGATGATTGCACATCAGAGCACAATGGAAACACATGTAAGGAGGTCCTTAACATATTTATTATGCATTTAATAATTGATGTGTTCATCAGCTTCAGACACACTGCACAGCTTCATAGTTCACTCATCCACAAATGAAGAGGAATTCCCTCAACAGCAGACCTGGACAGGTAACTGTTGGCATCACATTCAGAGCATATCTCACAAAGTCTTCAAAATCTTGTACATGCTTATACAGTGGGGCAAAAAAGTATTTAGTCAGCCACCGATTGTGCAAGTTCCCCCACCTAAAATGATGACAGAGGTCAGTAATTTGCACCAGAGGTACACTTCAACTGTGAGAGACAGAATGTGAAAAAAAAATCCATGAATCCACATGGTAGGATTTGTAAAGAATTTATTCGTAAATCAGGGTGGAAAATAAGTATTTGGTCAATAACAAAAATACAACTCAATACTTTGTAACATAACCTTTGTTGGCAATAACAGAGGTCAAACGTTTACTATAGGTCTTTACCAGGTTTGCACACACAGTAGCTGGTATTTTGGCCCATTCCTCCATGCAGATCTTCTCGAGAGCAGTGATGTTTTGGGGCTGTCGCCGAGCAACACGGACTTTCAACTCCCGCCACAGATTTTCTATGGGGTTGAGGTCTGGAGACTGGCTAGGCCACTCCAGGACTTTCAAATGCTTCTTACGGAGACACTCCTTTGTTGCCCGGGCGGTGTGTTTTGGATCATTGTCATGTTGGAAGACCCAGCCTCGTTTCATCTTCAAAGTTCTCACTGATGGAAGGAGGTTTTGGCTCAAAATCTCACGATACATGGCCCCATTCATTCTGTCCTTAACACGGATCAGTCGTCCTGTCCCCTTGGCAGAAAAACAGCCCCATAGCATGATGTTTCCACCCCCATGCTTCACAGTAGGTATGGTGTTCTTGGGATGCAACTCAGTATTCTTCTTCCTCCAAACACGACGAGTTGAGTTTATACCAAAAAGTTCTACTTTGGTTCATCTGACCACATGACATTCTCCCAATCCTCTGCTGTATCATCCATGTGCTCTCTGGCAAACTTCAGACGGGCCTGGACATGCACTGGCTTCAGCAGCGGAACACGTCTGGCACTGCGGGATTTGATTCCCTGCCGTTGTAGTGTGTTACTGATGGTGACCTTTGTTACTTTGGTCCCAGCTCTCTGCAGGTCATTCACCAGGTCCCCCCGTGTGGTTCTGGGATCTTTGCTCACCGTTCTCATGATCATTTTGACCCCACGGGATGAGATCTTGCGTGGAGCCCCAGATCGAGGGAGATTATCAGTGGTCTTGTATGTCTTCCATTTTCTGATGATTGCTCCCACAGTTGATTTTTTCACACCAAGCTGCTTGCCTATTGTAGATTCACTCTTCCCAGTCTGGTGCAGGTCTACAATACTTTTCCTGGTGTCCTTCGAAAGCTCTTTGGTCTTGGCCATGGCGGAGTTTGGAGTCTGACTGTTTGAGGCTGTGGACAGGTGTCTTTTATACAGATGATGAGTTCAAACAGGTGCCATTCATACAGGTAACGAGTGGGGGACAGAAAAGCTTCTTACAGAAGACGTTACAGGTCTGTGAGAGCCAGAGATTTTCCTTGTTTGAGGTGACCAAATACTTATTTTCCACCCTAATTTACGAATAAATTCTTTACAAATCCTACCATGTGAATTCATGGATTTTTTTTCACATTCTGTCTCTCACAGTTGAAGTGTACCTCTGGTGCAAATTACTGACCTCTGTCATCATTTTAAGTGGGGGAACTTGCACAATCGGTGGCTGACTAAATACTTTTTTGCCCCACTGTATTAGGATACTGAATTATAAAAATTCTATTCAAAACACAAACATTTCTTTTTTAATGACTATTATATATCAGTCGCAAGATTCATAGTCACTATTTTCTACACCTACAATCTATTAATACCTAAATGACAGCCAGTGTTACATAATACACACAAATGGTTTCCAACATGATAAAATAGGTTGTGCAGTCTGAAAATATTTGATTGTTTTGAGATGAGAGATTCTATTGATATTTTTTACATGAGCAGCGAAAGATGATTCTGATGTGATGTAGAGGAGAGACAAGCTTTGGGTTTAACACGTTTGTATGTAAACTTAAAAACAAGTATATTAGCTGATCGTGTGTGTGTGTGTGTGTGTGTGTTTGTGTGTCGCATGCAATATTTATGCAGTGGGTTATCATTTAGGGATGCAGCAGAACACCGAAAGTGAAAATATCTGCATTTGTCCCAAACTGTGACTTCTGTAGTACCAAAACATGAATTTTTGTAGCACTACATGCTTAATAAGACTGACAGAGTATCATTTATTAATGAGGACCATATTTCCCCAAACACCGGGATAGCTGCCTGTTTTAGGAAAGCTCTACTTTAGCCCGGAGATGCACATGGATAGGCTCAAGACAAGCTTCTTCCCAATGGCCATCTGGGTGCTCAATGAGAACACTGCTCGGGGCTACAAAACCCTCCATCCATCAGCTCCACCACTATAGAATAAACAGCCATATCCCATAAAACCAACTCATATCTTCATTGCCTTATTAATCATCATATGTAAACACCTAATTTACCCTAAAACCAACTTAAAGACCTTCACTGAGAAGGTTGGAAGTTCACAATGCAGAAATACAAACACCTCACTGAACTCTGACCAATGACAGCCAACAATGGAAAAAGCACAAGGTTGCTGATCATTATAACCGTCATGACTTTCCTGCAAAGTCTGATTACGTGTGTACATCTAATTAAACTTCTTGGATGTGTGACTTTCTGATTTGTTGTGGTTTACAGTTTAGTGATATGTTATTGTGGAAAAATATTCATGCACTACATTTACAGCTCATGGACCCAGTCTTCATGACATTACCTACTAGTTTCTGAAATTTGGATTTTTAAGCCTCAATGTTTTGTTGCCACCATGACAGGGCTTTTTGTTGTTTGTTTTTAAGCCAGAATTGACCATATTTGGATGAGGACACGCACTGCTAAGTTATTAGCTAATGCTAGCACGTTCCATGTGGATGTACCGCACAGCGAGCCGTAATATTTGACAGGCAAGTACATAAAAACACTATAAAAGGCAGCAACAGCACAATAGAGATGATCAGTTCAGTGACTCATGAGGTGAGGTCACATGGCCACATGGCCATGATTGCATGCCTGTCAATCAAACTGGCTACAGTTCTAACTTTAACTCTTAACAGGAAACAAATTGACCACTTATTCCCCCCCCCAAAAAAAGAAAAAAAAATCATCCACCATACATAGTGTGACTGCTTTCATATTCACTTGGTAATTTGAGTACTTCAGCAACTTTTCTGTCTTTTTTTTTAGCAGCGATTAACTGAAATTATTTTGGGGCCTTAAAGAAATGGATTTGATTTTTTATCATTATTGCGACCTCACTAATTACAAACTCCTTGAAAGCTCTTTCTTATTTGTCTGATCCTAACGGTTGTGAAGGCATGCCTAGACAATGCATTTGTTAGGCAGCCACCACCACACAGAGCATGTGCAAAGTGGCGGGCGTTGTACGGTTCCCACACACTGTCACAGAGGATAAACAACCCAAATCTCTGCCTGAGGAAGAATCACCATGGTCATAATTAAGTAAATACATAACAGCTGCACAGACAAAACTCTTGCATTGTTTTCTTTGTGAGCAGTAACCTTTTTTTATTAAAGGATTCTCTCCTATAAATAGTGGGACATTTAGTTTTTTTGGTTTTATGTATAACCTGTGAAGCAGACATTCAATTTTCCATTTTCTTATAACCTTTATTTAACAAAAATATTTAATAATAAAAAATAACTGAAAATACAAATAAAGCTAAACTAAAATAACAATAAAATATTAAAATAAAACAAAATAATAATTAAAAAATAATTAAAACATTTAAATAAATCACAGACAGACCGATAGATTTTTTTTTTTTTTTTTTTTTTAAATCAACCCTGCTGCAAAAACATGCATAACGGCTAATCAAAGGCACATGTTGGCATGACAAAACATGAGAATCAGAAATGATTGAGCCACATACGCTCAACAATCCCACTTCGAGCTTTAGGTTATTGTCTTGGGACATAAGACAAGATAATAAACCTCCAGCTTCTCCTGAGCTTTCCCTCTAATCACATGATCTACATAAAATCTTTCATTTCCAGTTTTATCTAAACAACATAATATTTCAACGTTTGCATCAACGTCTGGTCACAACTCTAACGGCACGCAAATTCTGAATAACCAAATTCATCGTCTCCTTGGGAAAATTCCTGCGACGAGATGAAAAAGAAAAAAAAAATCAATTTGAAAGCATCCCTGATTGCATGCCTATGCATGTAGTGCCTTATGTTACACGTGCCAAAGAATTCAACAATCAAAAACTGTCTTTCCCTGCAAACAGCTCACACAGATTTTCCCACGGGCACTCATTGGATGTTTTTTTATTATGGCAATACGTCTTCTTGCTGCACTCCCATCTGTTGGAGTCAAAGCTGCTAACCGATATCCTTCCTGCCAGTTGTGTTGGGATGGTGCATGTGACGACTCGTCGCGTGAAGAGACTGGCAAATCCTCACGATACCACACACCAAGGCACCACAAAAACTTGGTGGGTGAGCAGCAGGATGAAGCATTTTTAGCCAGCTGCATTATTTACTACACAGAAAAGTCTTCTCTCATAAATACATTCACATGTCTGTTCTACTATTTATGACTTGTGGATTTTCATACACCATGAATCCAACCTTGTTTCTTTTGTCATGTTATTGTTTCACGACGCACTAAGGTCTGGACTCCAACCAGCGCAGTTTAGCAACTGGAGTCATGTTGTTGGAATATGTGCAAAATGTGGTTTGGTGGCATCAGGCCTTTACCTGAAAATAAGTCTTTTTAGTTTGGCAGTTTAAAACCTGCAGGCTATAAACGATGGGGAAAATAATTATTCCATGTTATGATGAATTTGTAAGTTTGCTCATTCAAAGAAATGAACTAAAATTTTTATGGCCTGTTTAATCATAATGGACAGAAAGAGAATATCAACCAAATATAAAGAAAAAAAATTTGATTTCCATGTCACTGAGTGAAATAAATACTTGATCCACAAGCAAAGCATGACTAAGTACTTGGTGGAGAAATCCTTGTTGGCAGCACAGCGCTAAGACATTTCCTGTAGTTCGTCACTCCTCTTCAGAGAAACTCTAAATCCTTTAGGTTTTTTTGGTTGCCACTCGGAAACTCAAAGTTTCAGCTCCCTCCACAGATTTTCTAAAGGACTGAGGCTTGAAGACTGGCCAAGTCACTAACCTTAATGTGCTTCTTCTTTAGCCAATCCTTTGGTGCTGCAGTGGTATATTTTGGGTCTGGAAGGCCCATCCATGACCCATCTTCCACGTTCTGATTGAGGGAAGGAGCTTATTGTCTAAGATTTTATTGCACATGGTCCATTGTGAAAAACAGCCCCAACCATAACTGTGGGGCGTTGACTGTGGTGCTCTTTGGGTCATATTTAGCATTTATCTTCCTCCAATCACGGCGGATGGAGTTGATGCTTGATTTTGGCTTCATCTGACCACAGCACTTTCTGCCAAGACTTCAGTGAACCATATAGATGTTAACTGGTAAACTTAACACGGGCCTGTACATCTGCCTACTTGAGCAGGGGAACCTCGCAGGTGCTGAAAGATTTCAATTCATTTCAGCGTAATGGATTGCATTTGTGTTCTTGGTGGCTGTGGTCCCAGCTGCCTTCAAGATCTCTAACTAAGCTCCTCCCTTGTTGTTTTAGGATGATCCACCAACTTTCTAACAGTCATCATCACCCAATGAGGCAAAATCTTGCATTGAGCTCCAGACTGAGGGCGACTGATGGACATTTCATCCATTTCTGAATAATCGCACCAACAGTTCTTCTTACAAAGCTTCTTCCTGATGGTCTTGTAGCTCATTCCAGCCTTGTGCAAGTTGACAGTATTGTCCCTGACATCCTTTGGTTCTTACCCATGGTGGAAGAAATTGATTCTGTGGACAGGTGTCCTTTATACACATAAGGAGCTTAGATCGGGAGTATCTGTAATTGATTGACTGATTGTAATAAATCTGTACGAGCCAGAATTCTGGCTGGGTTTTAGGGGATTAAATACTTATGTCACTCAACAACATGCAAATCTATTTATAAGTTTTATCTAATGTGTTTTTTCTGGATTTTTGGTTGATATTCTGTTTCTCTCCATTAAAATGAAACAACCATAAAAAATGAAACTGGTCATTTCTTGGAAAGCGAGGAAACTTGCAAATTCAGCAGGGGATCAAATGCTTATTTACCCTATTGTATCACTCAGCATTAATGGTGCCATGTGCTCTGATGCACCCAGATACCATCACACAGGCTGGCCTTTGAACTGTGTACTGACAACAACCAGGATACTCCTCTTCCTTTTCTTTAACTAAGAGGATGCGGTATGTGTGATTTCCAAAACCAGTCTCAGGACAGTTTTCAATTTTTCCTTAGTCCAGCTTAAATGGGAGCTGTGTTTTCTAGATTTTGTTCACCTTCTTTTACATAGTTTTATTTTGAATTAGTAGACCCAGCAACAATACACCAAATATGCACACGCCACAGGTGGCAGACCTAAAGTGGACTTTGAAGAAGTATAACAGGAACTGCTACATCGCCATCGGGACTCCAGCTATGTGTGTCTGCAATGGAGTATAATCGACACTTAAGATTTTCCATTAGAATAATCCAAAAACATGCATGCATGCCTGGAAAGCATTCAAAACACTTACCATTGCTGTGAGGGCAGATTTTTGGCCAGGGGCACTGGTTGGGCAGCCCAGGAGTTTGTGGAGCCTCCCAGAAGATGCCAGGGTCTCTGGCCCAGGTAGCCACACCACAGCGACTGAGATAGAAGCCGCCCTCCCTCAAACTGACAAAATAAAGAAATCATATGAAGAGCAATCATAGTTAACTATGGGCAAACACATTTAACTCTTGATGCTACCCAATAATAAAACCTTAAATTTTAAATGCACTTTTTCCATCAGGCTAAGACATTTTTGGCTTTAGAAAAATGTCATTTGGAATTTGGAACTAATTAATCCCATAAAGTTTGATAACTGTGATTGTAGGTCAGAATTCCCACGTAAACCATACATTCATCCGCTCAGAGCACTTAAGTACATCCACACAGAGCTAAAACAGCTCTAAAACACGGTCATATTTTTATCAGGGACGTGTTAATGAAATGCAGTGTTCAAATTCAAGTGCAAATATCAGCACAAGTCAAAGGCTACTTTTCACTACAGCTCTGCTGTGACCACACAGTGGAGAAAAGAGGAACACTGGTCACAAGCTGACCCTCTTCCCTCCATTGAGTGACTCAGCCTCATGTTGCACAACAAAACTACTGGCTCAAAAATAACCACAGAATATTGCTGACAGTCAAAATATCCACACACACACACACACGCAAATATATTTATATTTTTTCTTTTTTTAAGAGTTTTACTTTTGAGCTTAAAATCGAGAAAAAAACACTAAACTGTCAACAAGTCTTGCCTGTTGCTGAGCTGGTACGGCTGCCTGCCCGGTATGAGAGTCTCTGTGAGGTTGGCACTAGGCTTGTTTCCGGGTCCGGCATACACAAATGCATCTAGAGGCTGTATCTGGCTCAGTGGACTGCCTACAGGAAAGTCTGTAGCTTTTCCATTGTAAATGGCCACTGCCCCAGACTCATCTCCTGAGAAGCCATAAGAAAAGACGAATGAAAAATGACCAACGCACATGACAAACCTACAAAAGCAGAAGAAACCTAGACCCACAAACAATAAGCTTAAACTACAATAAAAAAGCCACTGGATCAGTACACACTGACCTTTCATGTAGCTCTTCTCTATGGTTACAGAGATCAACCCGTTCCTGGAGGTGTCCACATCCACGTCCACGCTGACACTGACCCGGTCTGTTTTCCCATCCCACACTACCAGTACCAGAGAACCTGCAGACGGAGCCTCCGTCAGCTCCACCAGCCCTTCCACCTGCCCTCCGCCTAGCTTCAGCTCAGTAATTAAAGGGATGGTCAACGGAGCAGTAGGAGGGGTGCAGTTGTTTCGCTGACCAGGGGAGGGTGAGGACACCTGAAAGCCCCACCGATCTTCAGACAGCAGGCACCTTTCGATTGATTCGTCCCCCTCGAGCGCCATTTCATCCTCGACGAAAGCCGGCTCCCCGGGCGTGAGCATCTCCGCGAGGAACTCTGCACCTCCAGTACGGCGGGTCATGTAGACGACGGCATCCACTAACCCAACAGCCGTGACGTTCATCTTCTCATTATAGCGAGCGGCAGGTGTGCGGTAGAGGACAATGGCGTCCGGGCCGTTCTGGACTGTGTTTGGCGGCAGGAGGATGGCCGGTTTGGGGAGCATGTCCACCGAGCCCACCAAGAAGAAACCTCTGTCATCCGTGCTGTGGCCCTTGAGGTCCAGCACCTTGTAGGCTATATTTCCGTTTCCATTATAGAACACGAGGGTGTACCCGTCCAGCGGGGCCCGCTGTCCGCTGGTGTGATACAACTCCACGAACTCAGTGGTGTCCAGTCTTGGGTTGTCAGCATTGATCTCGCTGATGATGAGGCAGGGGTCACCTCCAACCATCACCACCAGGCAGAGACAGGCAACGCAGGCTAGACCGACCGCCATGGTTCACAGCTTCACTGAAGCAGCTCGGAAGCTTCTGCAAAGACAAAAAAAAGAGGGGGGGAGACCACCAGTTGCATTCCTCAGTGAAATAAACTTAGTTAAGGAGTATTAATAAGCCTGAGTGACATTTCACAGTTGTTCACCACTTGAGGAGAAGCCTCATAACATCATGAATGAGTCCTCTATGAGTGTATTTTTTTTTTTCGTTCATGGTGACAGTGGGAATGCACGTCTTCTGAATGAGTCATGAATTGTTGCGAAACGCAGAGGCAAGCAGAGGGAAACTTTGCGTGAAACGATGAAATGCCACACAAGTGAATAAATGGGATTAAGAAGCTAAACAGCCACATATACTTTGAACTATACGAGAGAGGCATCAGCCTTCCCAGCCTTTCTTATTTACTTATCCCATTTCTGAGTCAATCTAAAGCTTAATCTTCACAGTATTTAACATTAGCTTTTAGTTATTTTTTTTTAAATGTGTGTTAGGGAGACTACATTAGATTGCACGGCAGTCACTCTTCTTGGTTGGAGAGAGGAGGGGAAAAACGCCTGTGGAGTTAAATTCTTTCACCAAATTATCTCGCATCTCACTGCAGTTATTCCGGTCACGGTTAGGCTGCTATGCATGCATCTTTCCGTCGAAAAGAAGAAGAAGAAAAAAAAGGCTGTCAATCTGATTTCTATCATTGCCACACAAGGTCCTAAAAAGCGTCGCGACTTACAGATTTTTCTCGGTCCTCTTCGTCCAGGTGTCGCTGGTTCGGCAGCTCAAACTTCTCGAGTGGATGTAAAATCACCTCCCCGTCGGAAATATTATTGCTAAAGTTTGTTTTCTGTGCTCTGCCGCTCCCGTCATTCACAAAGCAGCACTTTCTCCCCCCACCTCCGACACCACCGTGCTGTGGGCGGTCAGACTGACTGAGGGGGATGATGCCTGCCAGGGAGGCTCAGGCCAGTCGCAGCTGACGACAAAACGCCAGTAAAAAAACAGAAATAAAGAAAGAAACAGAGAGACGCAGTGCTAGCAGGAAGGAAAAAACAAGAAACAAAATTAGTCCGCAGCTGTGTGTGAATGCTGTAAATATGTCTGTCTGACTGACTGTCTGCAGCCTAATAATCTTCCGCGAAAGACGCCTTCAAAGACCTGAAGGGGGCCCCTGACCCCGCTCTGTGAACTAGGGGAGAGTGGCTTCAGTAACACTTCAATGAAAGCACAAGTCCCTCCCAGCGCCAGGTTTACTGTTTACTGCTGGTTTGTCTTTTAAAGAGAAGTTCATTAAAAAGCACAACTTCACAAGCATTTCTGTGGACTAGAAAGCTGAGCAGGTATATCTAGTTATATACGCCTCATGCACAACAATAAAGCTCCTATTTGTTTTTGGGCATAGGCATAACAAAAACTCACGGGGAGATGAATACAAAGCTGGATCACCAACTGGGCCAAGCAGACCACTGACATGGGGCCCCTGACCCCCACAACAAAAGCCCCGGCTTAATAATGGGCCAGGTTGCTTCATTTTTCAAATAATATAAATCATTATATTCATATATAGCCAGTGCCCTCCAAATGTAAATAAACAACATAATTTGTATAAAATTAAACACCAACTTGGATCTATCTATCTATTGATTTTCTATTATATTTTATTGCAGTTATTCATAGTTTGTATTATTACTACATATCTGTGAAAAGTGCTTTATAAATAAACTTTACTTAACTTTCAAGAAAAGTAACAGAGAAGTTACTAAAATAAAATCGGTCTAAATGATAGTAATCTTAATGATTATTTCAGGATATTTCTTTAACTTTAAATTTCCTCTGTACAAGTTTTCTTCCCCTTTCTTTCAATGCTACTCAGGGTGTCTGAAGAGGGTTAACATTTGTGGAAATGAAAGTCCCCAAACACCAAAGTTACTGTGGTACTTTCACCCTCGCTACTCCCGCAGCCTTCTGCTGGGATTTGAGCTCCCAGAGGAATCATCTGATACAAAACTGACCACACCAACCGAGTCCAAGGACACTGTTTGTGTAATACAGAGAGTGAATGAGACAGTTTCATTTCTGCTCTCTAGAAATTGCACAATTACTGCAGTTGGGTGTTTTTGTTATGATGAAAGTGCGTATTCTTTTCCCCCTTTTTTTCCCTTTCCTAATATATATTTTTATTAGGGCGACTGGTTTAGCAGTAAGTGTTAAGCAATAGGTTTCTTTTTTATCTTTTACAAATTTCTCTTAATTTAAATTTAAAACTAAATATGGAAGTATGATTGAACTTTTTCTTTTTTTTAGTTTGAATCTCATGTTTATATGCCACCCTTATATGACTCATTTTTTCCCAGCCACACCTACAATAGTTTCACTTTATGAACATCAGCATCTGTTGTAGCAAACGTTGTCCCAGTGTGACTGTAATAAATTTGAAATACAGTTGGATTTGGGGTTGTTGCACCTTGAGCTCAGGTGAATGAGATTACATCATTAAAGACACATTTATGAGTAAAAAGGGAGATTATTGTTGTGTATGTGGCGATGTTAGAGGCAGGAAAAAGAGAAAAAACTGAGAAAATTCTTTTCTAATGATATTTCCTATGCAGGTAGTCATATGACGGCATTATTTGGGAGGTGGGAGGATGGGGAAAGATGAAGGTGTCAGGAAGATCACGCAACCTAATCTAAAAATATGAGCTGCCAAAAGGGGAGTGGAGATGATGCATATCACACATTAGATATGTGGCAAGCTTGGATGTTCAACATGAAATGAAGACTTAACTTGGAGCAACTCCCGTGATTTTTGCTCATCATCATTAAAAGCGCACTCTTCGTCCTGTTTTTAAGACTTTAGAGGTGTTTTTGAAGTGCTTGGTGACTGGGTTTATTGCCTATGAGCACCACAAGATGGCCCTATAATCATTGGAGTGTGTCTGATGGGTTGCACCGAAGATGAAATGAGACTGTCAGCTGGGGGAAAATAAGCAAAAGTGTCTTTAATAACTGTGGCTCCCTGAAGTGAAGCCTTTTAAACGTGACTCTGATTCAAGGGTGGGTGGTATTTCCTGGTGTTTGTGTGCCTCTGTGTGTGTGTGATGCTATTTGACATCACCGGGTGTATTTTGACACAGAAAAAGGTCAGTTGAAATGTTAATGATGTACGCGTTTTGTTTGTGGTGGGCACACGGTGTGTTTTTTTAAAGTTTTTTTATTACCACAGAGCAAGCATTTGAATTGCTGTCAAAAGGGGTGCTCTCTTTTCAGGAGTCAGCCCATTGACAAGGTACATCTAATTCATTTGGCTGGTTTGTTTTGATGACTCACGATTTAGATGTCATCGCCTCTGATTCATCACCGGGCCCCTGCCTGTGGTGGAAAATGCTCTTCCTCACAGATAATATGGAAAGACAGTATGCTATGCTGGGATGCATACCACTGGAGATGGATTTAATTAACATGAAGATTTAATGCCGGGCTCATTTGTCCAGAAGAGTCTTTAAGTGAGATAATTGGGTTTCAGTTAATTCTTAGAGGTAACCAATCTAGTAAACTATTAATTATGTATAGCTTTAAAATACCCGTTCAGTGTAATACGAAGTCTTCTTACTCATAGACCTTGACCCCTGTGTTTCCTTGAATCTGGTGTATTTACTCATCAGAGAAACAAAAACTAGTGGTGTAAAAGTGTACAGCAGGACAGCACATTTTTATTTCAGACGAGTGTGCTGTCGTGTCACTTTCCGATCACAGCAAAGACTGTGACATCGACTGGATGTGAGTGTTGGATCTGAGCACAGCCATCAGATGAATGTGAGGGCCAGCAAAAGCAAAAGCATGCTTGGTAGGATATTTTCATCCACTGGGAGTGTGGTGCAAATGCCAGAGCGAGCACGGTCTAATAAAACCACAGAGCATCCTAGCCCGGACTCAACACAGAGGGCCACCTGCAGCTCAAAGCAAGGCACGTTGCAGTATTGCATTATTAGAATTACTCCTCACACCGAAGCTCAAAGCTGTGCTCGGATGCAGAGTGATTAACCTGAGGGAACTTCAGAGCAGAATATAACCTGCTGAAGTCAATCTAAGAGCATTTCCTTCGTGGGGATTTCTTTAAACTTTCTAAACCACAATTCTTATGAAATCCTTTCACCAGATAAATGAATAGTGGTGGAGTAGTTAATTACTCTAACATTTAAGACAGCCCCAGGATTATATGTGACAGTCAAACCTCAAGGGTACTGTATATTTATTACAATTGTTGAGTCTTCAACTAACACCTGACGGCAGGAATTAAAGAATAAAGATTAATTTTATTGCAAATAAATACTACTGATGATTTCTGATGTCTGTCAGTTGTGCACTGTTAGTGTTTAAAGATGGCATTACTGTCACGGCTGGGGCAGCAGTCGTGTGGTGGAATGAACGAGGACCCAAGATGCAGATGGCAGTGGAGGTGCAGGTGGAGATTTATTTACAGTGAAAAACCCAAGGTGAGGGCAGAACTGAACAGAAACCTAAACTGGGAAAACTAACACAAACAGAGGACACGAGGCGAGGACCAGAGCGCCACGGCGATATACCAAAAGGATGCAGAGAAATGCAGACGACGCAACGAGGAGCACAGGCAGACACATACTATAAATACACACACCAGGTAATCAGGAAATAGCACACAGGAGGGGACACAGCTGGAACTAATGGGCATAACGAGACACAGACCTACAAAGTAAAACAGGAAACGCACAGACTGTTTTACAACACAAAACTCAGGCACCCGAACAGAGCACAGAGGGAAGACACAGGTAGGGATAATAAATGTGACAACCAAACCCAAAGAACTAATACAAAATCAGAATAAACTAGAAAATGATAATAAACTCCAGTTCCAAATAATTTGAGGTGCTGGGTAAAATGTAAATAAGAACAGAATGCAATGATTTGCTTATCTCATAAACCCCTCACAACAGAACACAGAAGGTTAACAAACAAACGAGTTTAAGAAAACTGTTGACTCAGCTTGAATTTGATGGAAGTAACATATCTCTAAAAAACAACAAGAAGAACAAAAAACTGGAGCACCTGCTCTTCTTTAACAATAGTCCATAAACCTCTGAGAACTAAGACCAGTAGCTTCACAACAGTCCTGGGACTTCTTAGTCATAGTTCTTGTTTCTTGATGGACAAATGTTTTCAGGTCCTGACTGCAGGCAGGGCAGTTCACCATCCAGACTCTATTACTGCAAAACCACGGTGTTGTTATACATGCAGTATGGAGTTTAGCATTGTTTTGGTGAAATTTACAAGACCTACCCTGAAAAAGTAATCATCTGAATGGGAACATATGTTGTTCTAAAACCTGTATATGATGTCAACTTTACAGACACAAGTGCCATCAGAAATGCAGGCTTTAAAAACGGAGCACTGACTATAAGCTGCAGGCTCTCTCTCCTTGTTACTCCAGAGGTCTGACCACAGTTTTTCATTTTGTCTCAGTCCTTTTTAAACGAGCTTTGGCTCAGAGAAGACGACGGGTCGACATATTGTTTCTTCTTTGCAACAATAAAGCTTTAAGCTGTATTTGTAGATGGCACGGTGAACAAACAGACAGTAATTTCTGGAAGTGTTCATGATTGATAGAGCCCAATTATAATGCAGTGTTGCCTGAGGGCCCACAGATCAGACATCAAGACTGATTTTCAACTTTGTCCTTGCACGTACAGAGATTTCACCAAATTTTTGTAATCGGTTGATGAGATTTAAGTCTTCACAATTTTGCTTCTCTAAGATCTGTAGCTGTAAAATGTTCCTCCAGCTTAGTACTCCTTATTTTTCAAGCTTTTGTCTTTTGTCCAAACAGTGTTTTAAGATGTATTGCCGCCACCAAATTCAAAATGATATAATATTTCTCATGAAACAATAAAACGTGTCAATTTTATCGCTTGATATACCCTCTGTGTTGGGTTTTTCCTGTGTTTTTTTAATATTTTACACAGCATCCCAAATTTCACAGATTTGGATTTGTAGAAGTAAATAAAAAAAATAGAAATTTTCAGGTCATTATGCAAGTTTAAACTGCAGTGTGTGGAATTTATGTCTTCTTCCACTACCCTTGCCATGGACATCAGCTGCTTCAAAAACAGCTGGTGGCATTAATTGTTCAGTCACGTGGCATTAAGTCATGGCAGAAAACGAG